TCGCCACCCTCGCCTCGAGCAACCCCAAACCCTTCCCCAGAGCAGGCACTGCGGTCCTGATGGAAATGCTGCTTGCTAATGTAATCACGTATTTTGCCCTTTTTGCTTACTTGCTCTCAGAACTGATGTAAATCCTCTACGGGCCTTCCTCTGCCCAAAGTTAGGTGCAATTTGATGCCCGTCCCTGAGGATCTGACTGCTTGGGGAAAAAAAATTAAATTGAAATAAACCCCAGTGCTGTGCGGTATGCAAGGTGTGCAAACAAATGCCATCAGCTGGAGAGTTTATACTAAAAAAGAACAGAAAGGGTCCTGTCAAACACTACCTGAGGTATCAAATGCCACCAGAGTTTTCCCCCATCCTCTGAAAGCAACTGATTCTTTGCCCACTTAACTGTCCCACTGACAATGTCAAACGTGTCTAATTTATTTCCTCGCTTACTGACACACCAGCTCAAGTCTGCTTGAAACCCTGGTCATCCCTCCTCCCTCCCTCAGCTTTGTCTTATTGACAAGACCAAAATGCCTTTCATCAGCCCAAACGGGGCAGTAACAAATAAAATAAAAGTGGCAGAACGAAAGAAGGCTTTGCTAAAAAAAAAAAAATGAAAAAAAGAAGGGATTGGAAGTGGGAATCAATGAAAGTCAGGGACTAGAGAAACAGGTGAAAATATTTTGGGGAAGAAAGGGATGCTACATTTTTTTGGCTGAGCTACATCCTCCTCCCTGGATTCATGGCAAAGAAGGGAAAACCAGAGAAATTTGCCTTCCCTCTCACCCTTCTACTACAGTGTGCAAATATGACCTGCTCTGATTTTGCACTGAAAAAATTATGAGATTTTTGAGCACCTGACAGTCCTGGGACCTCACCAAATCTCTACTCTAATTATATATGCAGGCATCAGTCTTGGGTGTAGGTACACAAGTTGAAGGAAAAAGCTCAGCAGAGGTCTGAACTTCTGCATAGCCTTGGCTGTGCAAATTGTGGTGGATCTCTTATATTTTTAACGCGGTGGACTAAAGATGTATTGATGAGGAATCCCTTCCTGCCACCCGTGCTTAGGCTAGTAGTTGATAACTGATTATATTACTAAAAACTGCAGGGTAAGCTTGTATGAACAGTTGGCACATCTCAGCTATGTATCTTGCGGTGTTTCACATCTCAGGCTTCCACTGTTAATTGCACGGCAAATGTAGACTAAACAGTATAGCATAATTCTGACCAGTTTAGTTGGGGGAAAAAAATACTTTTCAGTTCATGCAGTTGATCTGTTGCTTTTGGGAAAAGGGCTTGCACTGAGAAATCCTTTGGGATATTGTGGGATGCAAGCAAACACAAAGGGCTCTGTCACCTGCTGGTAGACAACGCTCGTTTCTCAGGAAATTGCATCTGAGGATGTCACTGATAGATGTTAATGGAGACAGAGGTAGGGATGAAAACCTGCAATGAAGTGGATCTGCTGAAAAAAAGATAATTAAAAACCATGTGAAACCAAAGGCACTAAAAGCTAGATTGTCTCTTTACGCAGACCTGAATTTGGGATGGATTAAGCTATATGTAACACCTGATGGCAAGAAAGGGACGTTTCATCTCTACTCTTGCTTTCCTTAGGGAATGTATGAACGGGGAGGTAGAGTTAGTAACTCAGGTTTGGCTTTCCCCTCAGCGGCAAACCGTGGTGGTACCTCAGTGAGCCCACTGGGAACTGGCAATTTCTTAGTATTTTGTGAGGGCAAGCCAAGGAGTCCCCAGGTGCACGGTGCTCACTTAGCGTGCCACCCATGGTCTGGGCAGTCTGCATAGGACCTGCACGTTTTACATATTAACTGTCAAACATCCATACTGAAGTCTTAGGGCAGCATAGAACTTCCCTCAGCATGTGTAGGGAAGGCAACAAAATGTGATTTTGGTGCTGGTGGTGAAATACTTACTGACATCAGCAGGGGAATGATTTGCTCTTCTCTATGACTGCAGTGAGAAATGAATCCCTGATTGGCAGCCTCTGTGGAGCTGTGTTTTCTCAAACATGACACAGAAAGGAAATATTATGTATAACTGAGTTTTAATTGTTTCTTGAGTTAATTTCAGCGTGAATAGGTTACACAGTCATTTCAGAGAAAGGCTATTTTTTTCAGTTTTGTTGGCGTGGTATTTTTGCTTGCCTTGTGGCACAAACTTTCCTAAAAGAAAGTTTCTTAAAAAAGACTTCAGTAATTAGTTCTCTGGTATTAAGGAGGGGCATAAACCTATAAGAATTTAGTAACTATTTAAAGGAAACACTTTCCATTAAGGAAAAGCTGGAAGATTATTATGCTAATAACAGTCTGGCTGATGCCGTTCCATGTAGAATTCCCATAGGTATTAATGGAAGTTTTGTGCTAAATCAGCAGTAGTTTTGGGTAGTGGATTGTAAAAAAAGGATATGCTGCCCAGCAGGATCTTAATCCTTCTGCATTTACTTAGGCAAACTTTGTCTTTGAAATGCTTTTGAAATCTGTCCCAATTTTCAGTGGGAGTCATGCCTGAATAATATTACGAGATCGGGCTTCAAATGTAAGGGCAACAGAATTTAAATAAATTAAGACAGATCTTCTCTTAATCCTGAGATGTAGAACGTGGGTTAGAGGAGGAAAGAGCTGTAGCTTTAGCTCATTACTTCTTGTCTTAGCCACCGCGGACTGATTTCTCCACATGTTCTTGTACTGTTTTGTTTTCAGGGACAGCTCTGTTGCTTAGACCAGGCAGCTGCAAGGATGGGGCCCCTGGAAGCAGTAGGCAAAGAAAACCAGACAGATGAAATGAAGATGGAGCTGTTCACCAAGCTGTACTTGCCAAGATACACCACACCGCTCAACGAATTGGCTCTGGACCCTAAACCAGAACTGAAGGACAGCACAACGCTCGTTGAAGTGCAGATAATCCTCATCTTTGCTTACTGCTCCATCATCCTGCTAGGGGTGATCGGGAACTCCCTCGTGATCCACGTGATCATCAAGTTCAAAAGCATGCGCACAGTAACTAACTTCTTCATTGCCAACCTGGCTGTGGCTGACCTGCTGGTGAATACATTGTGCCTGCCCTTCACTCTTGTTTACACGCTGCTGGGCGAATGGAAACTGGGCCCGGTCTTGTGCCACCTTGTGCCCTATGCCCAGGCTCTTGCTGTGCATGTGTCTACCGTTACTTTGACTGTGATTGCTTTGGATCGGCATCGCTGCATTGTCTACCACTTGGAAAGCAAAATCTCTAAGCGGATCAGCTTCCTGATTATAGGAATTGCTTGGGCAGTCAGTGCCCTGTTGGCAAGTCCTTTGGCCATCTTCCGTGAGTACTCGCTGATTGAGATCATTCCTGACTTCAAGATTGTAGTCTGCTCTGAGAAGTGGCCAGGGGAGGGGCAGCTCAACTATGGCACCATCTACAGTGTCTCCATGCTCCTGATCCAGTATGTGCTGCCTCTGGCGGTCATCTCCTATGCCTATGCCCGTATTTGGACCAAGCTCAAGAACCACGTTAGTCCTGGGGCAGGGAATGACCACTACCACCACCGGCGGCGGAAAACCACCAAGATGCTGGTGTGTGTGGTTGTGGTGTTCGCTGTCAGCTGGCTGCCATTTCACACCTTCCAGCTAGTCAGTGACATTGACAGTCAGGTGTTAGACCTGAAAGAGTACAAACTGATCTACACAGTGTTTCACGTCATTGCCATGTGCTCAACGTTTGCCAACCCCCTGCTCTATGGCTGGATGAATAACAACTACAGGACAGCCTTCCTCACGGCCTTCCAGTGTGAACAGCGGCTGGACTCCATCCACCCTGAAGTATCAACAGCTTTCAAAGCCAGGAAGAAACTAGAAGCAAAGAGGATTCAATTCCCTGGAGACTCTTTCACACAACCTACCAATGTCTAAGATGTCTGACTTTAAAGAAGAAATGAGTATGTTGTGGACAAAGGGATAAATCCATTTTGACACATGCATTTTAAATGCATAGTTTTATTCATAAATGGCAAAAGAAAAGTAGCAGGAAAGTCAAGGCAGATGGTATGATTTGAGGGGAGTTGATTGGCATCAAGAGTATGTAATTATACAACTCCAAGGATTTAAAAGGGAGAAACTTTGTTTATGGCTGTCTCTAACAGGGTAAGAGATGTTCCCATCCCTCCCATCTCTTTTTGACAGGTCTAAATGACAAAGGCAGAGTTTGCTGGGTTTGCTATAGGAAGGCAAATGGCTGATTTGTTGCAAAGGAATATCGATGGTGGGAGCAGGTAATTTTTATATAGCATATGGAGATCAGGGAGAGCAGAAGTCTGCCAGGAGAATGAAGACTGAGGGGAATGGGCTGTGCTGCTTAAAGCTCAAACTTTTCAGACCCCTTCTCTCCCACAGGCACCTTTTGTGAAGATAAGGGAATTAAGAAAAGAAATATATTACTGTTTTTTGATTTGTACTGAAGTACTTCAAACCAGAGCATTCAAAATGGATTAGGGAGAAAAAAAAAAAAAGAAAAAAGAAAAAAGGAAAAAAACCCCAAAGAACAGATTCAATGTGAAGAAAAGTCACATTTCTACCTAACTGAAATGTAGGTTTTGGCCAATCGAATGGGGTAAAAAGTCATTCCTTAAGAATCAGCTGTGGGTTTGCTGGTGAGAAAATCACAAGCCTGTGGCTTGATCAGTCATTCCTTGCAGATCCCTGCCTTTCATTTTGTGCTGGGAACAGCTCACAAATGCAGTGCTTTAAAGTGGCATTTGAGGGCAGAGGATGCAGGCTCAGGTCTTCGTGAACACTTCATAAACTGCCAATATTTTAATTTTCGGGACCTGCTTAAATGTCTAACATGTTATTAACTCCACAGGCTTTGAATTGTTGCTGCTTTCTCCCTGGATAATAAAACAGCAGATAATTTTGATCCTCTGGAAAGGCTGCTAGGTGGTAATGTGCTTCTCCGTCACACACTCATCTCGTCTTGGAGGTTTTTCCATCTTTAGCCTTTGTAAAAATTAAGAACATCTGAATGACTGTAACCTAATAACGGTATGCTAGGTTTATGTGATAACTTATCAGTTATTCTGCATGCTGTAGTTAGTAGTTAAATTTCTTTTTTGCTCAGGTATAAAATTTTAATCTGTTTACTGTGTTGTAAACAGCAGTGTTCAACTCTTCTGTGTCTTTGTTTAGCCTCTTTGAACTCATTAAAGAGATGAAGAAAATTTCAATCTATGTTTATTCCAAGCTGCCCTGTTGCTTATCTAGAATAAAAATAAGTGTGATACTTTTACTTGGAGTCTCTTTCTACAGCTACATTTCAACTGCCTCATTTTTTTCTCTCCATTTTTCATTGTTCCTAAATTCATTGTGTTCTCTTTTGCAAATTAAAACCCAACAAAACTCCAGTACTGAAGTGTTAGCAGTGTAATCAATGGTATCAGATCTTCATCAAGTGGAGAAATTCATCTTTGTGTAAGCAGTATCTTGCCACCATCCTTTAAATATCCATGAAATCTTTTGGACCTGGATTTTCATGAACGGAGAAGGGAGGTCTAGAGAATTAACTAGTGTTTACTCAAGCAGGAAAAACTATCCATCATTCTTAAACAGTTTTACAAAAATAGATTAATTCGCAGCCATGTTGAGAACATGATATTGTCCACAAGTTATTTTTGTCTGAGTATTAATAATATCCAAAATGTAAGCTCAAAACTGTTATGGGTGAGGAAGGATTACAGAAGTGTGCAATTATTATGGGCATCAGTCATATGTATCAGTTACAGTTGACTCTGAACCCTTCATCAAAAGTATTATTGCCACAAATAGCCTCCTTTATTTAAAAAGCAAATGGTTTAAAAGTTCTGTTTCAACTCTTTTAAGCCTGTTAGAGTATGGTATATAGACAGTTTTGAAGTAACCATGACAGTGTATGCTAAAGCTACAATTGCCAGGCTAATTCTCCATAATTTTAAGTCTGCTTTATGTCATCCTGTATAAAAGTGATTAATTACAAATTATCTTTCAGTCTATTTCATGGTATCTTTATTTTTACTGCTTCCTGAGCTTTCTGTGCAGCCATTGTGTTGAGCCAAAGTTGGTACACTAATTTATTGCGTTGCTTTTCTCTCTGTCGTGAGGAGGTGTTGCATGGCTCAGTGCTTGCTTTAGGGGTCATGAACCTCCGCACAGTGTCCCACTGCATGGTGTGGACTTTCCCGTGGGCACTTGAAGGTGGGATGTAGAAGAGCCAGCACACACAGCCTGCTGCATAGCTTAGTTGCTCCTCAGGACTTGGCTCCTGCATGAGCGCAGCTACACACTTTTACTACCCCTTCATGTTGTAGAAAATTAGGCATTTTCTCACCAAAAGCAATGAGGTAGCAACATCCGAAGAAATTCTTTACTGTGAAGCTGGTGAGGCACTGGAGCAGGTTGCCCAGCGAAGCTGTGGATGCCCCATCCCTGGAAGTGTTTAAGACCAGGTTGGATGGGGCTTTGGGCAACCTGGTCTAGTGGAGGGTGTCCCTGCCCATGGCAGGGGGGTTGGAACTAGATGACCTTTAAGGTCCCTTCCAACCCAATCCATTCTATGAGTCTATGATCCCTCAGAGTTGCCCCAAGTCCCAGCTGTCAGAAGGATGTGGAAGCCCAGGGTTCATCCCCATTTCCCCCTAAGGGAAAGTGAACCTATAAGCAGGCTCTAACCACCAGACTGATGAGTTGCAGGGGACCCTCTACTTTGCCTGAAACGGGAACTGGAATCCAGGTCTCCCCATTCACCTGTTAGTGCTCTGATTTGTTGGGGTTTTTTTTTAAAAGCACTATATTCTTGTCCCATTGAATAGGTGCAAGTTTTATACAAAGCCAAAGAATACTAGGAGCAGCCCTCATTGAAGAACTTGCAAGTAGACGGTGGGGCACCCAGAATGAAATGTCGTCATTGATTCAGAGCAAGAATTTGAACCAATGCACCTCAGTTCTCATGACAGTGACCTAGCCAGCACACTGCAGCCTCTCCTGAGGTAGCAACATACGTCTTCTTAGAACTGTTCTATTGGATATAAAATAATTAAACTTACAATATCATGATTTTATGGGCAGGTGGTTATGACCCTTGTGTGGCGTTCAGGTTCCAGGCCAAGGATGTCAAAACAGATATAGACAGAATTTAAGTTAATCCCCCATGTTCTTCATGAGTACTTCTACTATAAAGATGCTGCACTGTGGGCAGGAGAAGAGCAGGGAAGGTAGCACCATGCTAATCTCGCGGAGGGTCTTCCTTGGGGTTCTGATTTGAGATTGGCTTGTTAAAAAGGAGACCTGTCTACCACATAGATCCCATCAGATGTAATCTAGGGTCCTAGCTGCTCAGCACTTAGTTCTGGGCCTCACTGGAAGAACACAATTCGATGCCTTGCAGATTTTACTGGCAGAAGTGTGTCTCCAGGCTTAGGCAGCAGCAGAGTACTGAACACTGCGAACTTAGATATGTACAGATGCACCCGTTCTTTCTCCCAGCACTGTCTGGGCACAAGCCAGCTCAAGCCTGGTGGCAGAAGAGCTGCACTGGTACGCTCTCCTGAGGCTTTCACGCGTTGTCTCGGAGGAGGACGTAGCAGCTTGGGACCAGCGCTGAAGGCACAGCCCTGTGCTGCTTCCAGATGTGTTAAAAGTCACATTGCCTGTACAAGGGCTACAGCCATGGGACTACAAGTGGAGAAATAATCCTGAGTAAGCTTGCCAGGGTCTTATGGGAGGCCGGTGAAGCTGGGGTTTTGGTAAGTGGGGACATTGTTGAACCATCTCAGCTAGCACTATGAGTAAATAGTCTTCATTGAGAATCGTGACCTCCACATAGAGAAGCAGACCATGTCTGAGCAGAAAGTATATCATTGTGAATCTGAGAAAAAATAGATTTGAGAGCATAAGCAATTAAAATAGAGGGACTAGGCTTGGACAACAAATGTGTTTAGTATACATATCTATTTATACATTAATTGTATGGCAGAGTTGTGCAAAAGCTGTTTGGTAGGGTTAAGTTTGTTGGAAATAATTGTCTGTTGCCCCACAGTTGGTATAACCATGTCTTGTATAAAATACGTAATGGACATACATACATTCCCAAAATACTAATAACTTAAGTTAGATAACACTAAGAGTAATAACTGAATGGAAAATATTATCTGCATTTTATCTGTCAGACCACGAAAGAACCACTGAATTCACAGATTAGTATAATCCATTTCCTTGCTTCATAGTTTCTAAACTCCCTCAGGGATTTTTCTTATATTAATCCAGATAATGACCTTAAGGGATGAATTTTTTCTTTGGATCCCTGAGTTATTTACCTGGTACTGTCATTATAAATGCCACTCCATAACAAGAGAGCTCCTTGTGCCAAATTACAGGTTCTTTGCCCTAAGCAGCTAGAAGATGTATGTAAATCTGTCCAAGGGTAGTGTTGCTGAAGAGCCATGTTTTTAATACTGCTTATTTAATACTTATTTATGCAATCGATAGTGATTTTCATATCTCATCTTCATTTTTAAAAAATATTAAATTGGATGTTCTTTAAAAAGAATTAGTATGACGGTAATGAGGAAATCTGAAGCTGCTAAAACTGGAGAAGTAGGAATGAGGATGAGCAGCTACTTCAAGAAACAAGAAAGACAGAGCAAGAACAGGGCTAGTGAGGATGTAATTGATTTACAGACTTTCCTTCTTCCCTTAGTCTGAGCGGTGAGACAAACGTGTTAAAATGAAACCAGGGCAAATGAAGAGACAGACCAATTGTATGCACAGTGTTGCCCAGGGAAACTGAGGAACTTTGAGGAGAAATTCCTGTGATCATTTGAGCCTTAAAATTCACATCATGTTCTCAAGCAAGTAAACCTGTGTCTGTACATTACTTGACCTAA